CATAATTAATTGCATGCGGAAAACATCTAGAATTATCCGTAGTAAAAATTTCACTTGAGATTATCCAATAAACTTTTTTTAAAATACCAAATTCAGCAAATCATTTTGTAAAAGTTCTTTATTTCATAAACCAAAATAGTCAGTTTGCATATATCCTTATTTAATTGTTTTTAGTTGGCCATGGTTGTGAAATAATTCTATAAATATGACTCTTTATTTTTGTTTCCTCTTTAAAAAAATCTAGAAATTTAAAAAATTTTAAATCTAATAACAATCATTTTATCAATTTATCTCCTGATCTATTTTTTTGGGTTGACTTATTATTTTTATAAAAAATTTATGGAGCACTCACCAAATATAAAATTGCTAATTGAAAGATTGAATTTACCAAAAGAGCAAAAAAAAATACTCGAAAATCCACCAGAAATAGTAAAGATGACGATTGACCATTTGGTTTCTTTTTCAAATAAACCAAGAAAAAAACCACCAAGGATACAAAATGCGTGGTCAATATTCCTAAAAAACTTTGGTGAATATCTGAGGAAAACCTTTCCGGATGAAACGTTTCCTATAGAAAAAATTTCACGTATGGCTGCCGGTATATGGAATAATTTAGAAGACACTGATTTAACGAAAATTTATTTTAGAATTTTGGCGAAAATAGCCGAAGAAAATCGGAAATTTATTTTCTTCGAAAATAATAATAATAATATTCAAACAATTTCATGCGAGAAGAAATGGAAATGGAAAGCAATCGTTAATAATGAAAACTTTACTACATCGTCGTCATCCTTTCCTTCACCGTCCCTTCTTTCATCGTCGTCATCACCATCATCATCATCATCATCATCATCATCATCACCATCACCATCATCATCATCACCACCAACAACATTTGTTCATTCCTTTTACTCTCCAACTTTAACCAATGCTGAAGTTTACGACTATCCTGTAATGAGTGAATCATTAGTCCAAGACAATACTCAATGCTCAACCCAAGAAGTAGGGCCCGAACATTTCTCTCCAGAAGAGCTCAATCAATTATTACAATTGTTATCCCCACAGGAGCTTAACCAATTATTACAATCATTATATCCGCAAGAGCTCTACCAATTAATCGACTTTCAATAACATTAATAATATAAATACGATGTGTATTGATATAGGTATGATGAGTATTGAGAATGATAATATCAACACTGATGAAATGGCAGCATTTATTCCACGACCATATGTCATTGGAGGCTATAATGGGTCGACGCTCAGATAGTGTACATTTAGAACCAACCGAAAGTAACAATAATATTATTGATATTGATGCTTAGACATTTTTATTATGGTGCAGGATTACCAATCATTACAAGTCTACCAAAATAGGTTTTGCGAAGAAAATCAAGTTGATAATATTCGTCATTATTATGTTGATAATAGATTCAAATTA